TTAGAGCAATGGCTTTGAAGCTGTCTCTTGATCAGAAGTCACATTAATAGTGTCACTCTGCCCCCATATTTTAACTCTAGTGTACAATCTTGGACAGCAAATCAAAATAGATCTACTAAACATTTGAATAATAGTCATACAAAAATATTTGGGCTTAGAAAATTGAAATTTAATCATTTTGGAACAAGCGGAATGTTATTAGCACACTTTTTGAATCAGAATTTCCTCCCTGGGTTCCTGATTATTAATGTTTCCTTCATAATTTAATGATAGTCATTGGACTGCTTGTCTGGTGCACAAAAGAAAAGATTAAAGTTTTTAATTCCTTCCCTGTAAATGTCAGGAGTTCTTGTAAAATGTAAAATGACATGGTATTTCTTATTTCTCCTCATTCGTTTAAAACCCATATATACTATGTTTTATAAGAGCTTTGAGTTGCTCTACAGATTGAAGCCTCCTTTTAATTCATAAAAGACTGATTCTGAGCACTATCAAAGATCTCCTTTTGGTTAATGGCACAAAAAGACAAAAGATAAAGACTTTTAATATGGGTTCCTGGGTTTCTTATAAATTAATTGGATTTTAACATTTCTGACATATTGAGGCAATCTGCAAAGGTCTATCACAACTCAAAAGATTAGTCACGAAGGCCATAGTAATGATGTTATTATTTATGTGAAATACAATAAAACACTACTTTCAAATCAAGAATTTGTCTTGCTGCTTTTTTTTTTTTTAATGATGAAATTCATACTTAACCTGTAATTAATTGAGTCAGTGCTGCTCCTTTTCAACATAGGCACGATTTATTTATTTTTTCACTGAAATAATACAATATTTTTACATAAATAGAAACACTTTTTCCCCAAAATAACCATTTGCTCATAGAAGCTAAATGACCAAATTCAGTGGTATAAGAAATAAATTGTTTAGGCAAATACTGTAGCACCACCTGCTGGATTCATTTTTAATTTCTTGAAAGTCTGTCCACCTCAGTTACTTTCACTCTATTCCTTCAGCTAGTATATACAACTTGATTTTACAACAGAAAAAGAAGAATTACAACCATTACCAGAAAGCTCTTATCCCAGGTAAAGATTGCAGCAAACCAGTGCCTATCTTGAAAGCATAAGGCAGAACTATATCCTGGATGAAATGTGTCCATCACATCTAGCCTGAATTTGGGAGATTTGAGCAAACTGAAGCATAAAGACAAAACATGGACACAGGTGAAAAAGCAAACTCACAAAGTATGCTACTCAGGGAAGAGTTGGTCTTAGCAGCCTAAAGCTATGAGACAGAAGTGCTAAAGTTCATCCTGACTTTTTCCTAAAGTTACAAAGTCCTTGAATTGGCTAATGCATATTTACGTATGTGCACAAATTATTTGCAAATCATTTACATATTTCACAACACGGATTTAGAAAAGGTAGGTCATGTGTAATCAACTTATTAGTTTTTTATAACAAAGAACAGCAGTAATGCATATACACAAATCAAATGATACTGTGTGTGTTTATAGAATTTCTGAAGACCTGATAAAGTTCCTCGTCAAAGATTAATACTGGGCACTAGGCATTCAGGAATATGTGAGTGTACTGAGAACTGGTTAATAAACAGAAAATGGAGAATACTCAAATTGGGGTACAATAGAGATTTGTTTTGGTACTACTATTATTTCAAAATCATATCGGTGATCTAGATTCTGGTATAGTTAGAAAACTACTCATGTTTGAAGATGACACAAAATTGGGATAATATAGAAGCAGCAAAAACTATAGAAACAGGAAACAAAATCTAAAAAGTCAAGAGTCTTCGACAAATTTCAAAACTGGGCAAAAACCTGGTACTTGATGTTGTATTCAAGTGGAGAATTTTACATTCAGGTAGTAAGAATATAGGCTGTAAATATAAAATGGGAAACAGAACTAGATGATGATACTTAATAAAAGATTAAAAGAATTATTCTTCACCCAAAGGATTATGAGGGACAAGGCCATGTCAAGTCATGTTGTTTGAGCTGATACTCTGGATTTCTGCAAGATAAAAAGATGGATGAGATCCTTGGATCAATTAGAATTCTATCATTCTAAAAACACTAAGGATCCCATAGTGCTTTATAAACTGTCTTGAAGGGGGGAAACACTTTATCCACCTTGGAAGTAAAGCACCTACCTGTATGATTTGCAGCAGCCATTATATGTTAGCTACCCCACTGTACAGCAGATCAGATGGGGAAGTCAGATGTCTTCAGCAGAATTAAATGGAAAAATGTTGGGAGGTCTGATTGTGCAAGTAGAGTACAAAGTGGAATCTAGGTATGCATTTTCCAGTCATGTTTTTATATTAACAATTTTTAATACTGATACTTAAACAGTATTAATATTTAATACTGATACCTTCCTCAGGTGTGGATCAGCAGAACATCAACAGGACATTAGGCCCATTAAATATGACTGGGATGTTCTTTGAAAATGTGTGGGAGAGATTTTTGAGGAATGGACAGTTTAAAAACTGAACACCTTAATCATTAGCAACTTGACTCATCATGATGAAATGTGTGCTGCAACTTGGGGTGACACATCAAAAGACTGTTGCCATAATTTGGGAAATCAGCAGTTCTCTTTCATTCTTTTTTGATGGAAGGGTTACCTTTCATTTACATTTGAGATCTTTGACTATTGATCAAAGTTCAAACAAAATTAGTTCATGTGAGCTTATAGTATATACTTAAAGGGGAACTGTAACACTATTTCTATGTTTCGCAATTTTTAGCTGGAGGCCAGGAGGAGATGAACAGTGTCTGGCTATCACTGCTGACCTGCCAGCAGGCGGACATAATGGATAAGGGTCGAAATGTAGAAATGTAATCATATACATATAATTCTACATAATACGTTTTGGTTTATTTACCACATTCTTAAAATGTTTTTTAAGTGCTACATGTCCCCTGCTGCTAAAGTTTTACACTGGCGAGATTTCAGACAAGGATTCTCTGTCCTGAGTTCCATTATGTAAGGAATGCGAATGGTCTCAGGTCTTCACTGAAACATTTTGCTAGGAGAGTTTCAGAAGATCTAACCTGTCTTCTAGACTACAGCCAGTGAGCAACCTAGAAGCCAGCTTGCACTGGCCGTACTAAAGAATGCTTAGCGAACAGAAGAAAAATAACTCAAACACTATGCATTTGATAGAGGCTGCGATTTTTGTAATATTTTGGAATCATGTGATCATGTGGAATCAGATTGTAATTAAGCTTGTAAGACTATTCAAAACAATCAAAGTATTTATTTTCAGGTCTTTCTTTATTCATTTTTTTAGTCACCAGCCCCATTTTGGCACATCAAGTAGAAAAGATGCATTTTTAAACTTTGCACAAGTTCACTCTTCACATCATTATTTAAATAAGTTACCTAAAGAATGTATGTTTTTCTGTTAATAGATTTATACAAAGTATTGCTTAAAGAGTGCCTGACCAACTATTACACCACATTATAAATGTACCTTTATTTCACATGAAAATTAAATATCTTGAGCAATGTTGAATAAATTCAATTTTGAACATCTCTGATGCAGCAAAATCACAAATTCAGAGAAGATTCAGTGAATTTAGATTTTATGTACCGTTTTCCTTCTAAATCTTTACATAACACCCCTTAAATACATTTGAAAATGAAAAGGTTTACAGAACTAACTAAAAATAAAAATACCTTGGACTTTTTATTCCAGAAATGATCACATGCCTTGCAGTGGGTTTGCATCTACACACAAAAGAATACTGAAGCTCAGAGGCAGAGATTCTAATCATCTTGCATTGTGACACTATAAAGATAAAGTAAAATAAATTCAAAAAAGAACATTACTCTGTCATTTTTGTTTTAGATAATTTCTTTTAAGGAAGTACTTTCATGCAAATCAAATTTTTCTTTTCAATGGAAATGGGCTATAATAGTAGCCAAGTGTCAAAGAATGTGCAAGAGGAGAGAAACAATACACACATAAAAGACATACGATTCCCAATGAGTCCAACACCCAATGTACGGAAAATGTTTTTGAAAGGCAGTTTTCCTAAAAATAACAGAGCAAATAACAGAGACAGGCAAACAATACTATTTATGTTGAGATGATGGACGGTTTTGCCAAAATCTGCACTGCTTCCTCTTTTTAGATTAAATGCAGAGTTCAGCATTTTGAAACAGTTTCAGCACATTACAAAAACGGACTGCAAGCATTATCAACAAATTGAGCACATTTTTTTATTTTATTTTAAACTTCATTTTTTCCTAAACAAAATATATTCTTTTTGCTGGGCTGGAAAAGTTAATTCGTATTTCCACAGACCACCCACAAGTAAAATACGTCTGATGGAAGCAAGCTTGAGTTTCCTTTGTGAAACACCCTCCTCCTTGGCATTAAGAATGTAAGAAAATCACTTTTAAGCCATTCTTAACTTCAGCAGTAGAAAACATGTGAAAACTATGTACAAAATTGAACTCAACACATTGCAAACTTGACATCACTAAGCATGCAGTACATACGTATTCTCACAAAGTAAGGAGTAGCTCTACTATAAGGCTTAGTTTCACAATATTGACTTCATGCGCACCTCAGTTTAAAATCTGAAAAGATGTCAGCGCAGAAGGCACACAACACTGTACAACCAATAAGAACATAAGTACTTAACTCCGCCCACAACAACACACTTTCATACAAAAATAGTCCATTTGGAAACATGTACAGTATATTTGCATCACAGTGAATGTACACTATTGCAGGAATCTATTATTTGCATGAGCTATTTTATTTTAAATAATTTTTCTAAGCAAACCCCCTTAGAAGAATTCTAAAAATAAATTAGTCTATGTGAAATGGTATTAAATCATATCTATTGTATTAACCCAAAAACTGCAATAGATTTATATTTATGGCATAATTTTATCCAAATGTTAGTATTTACAATAAGTACTCTTCAGCAGCCAACGATTCCTGTCTGAACCAAGAAAATCAGCTATTAATATTTCATATTTTAGATCTTAATACACCATTTATTATTCTATCTATGTGGAAACTATTTAAGTCTCCAATATTATTTCAAAAGTCCATGATTCAGATGATCAAAAGCAAGGTGGTAAATAATGTGACTTACAAAAAGCACATCACATTTTTTAGTAGAAGTTATTGTAAGCAAGTGACATTCTGATCTGAAGATCTATCAAATGAAACAGTAAATATTTTAACCATATAACATACTGCAAAGAACAACTAGAATTTTTCTAAAAAATATATTTCTGTACATGATCTCTGTACCTAAACATTACAACAGCTCAATGTTCTATGTTCTGTGCGCAGATCTGAATTCTGCCTCTTAAGGGCATCAGAAATGGAATGAATACCAACTCAGTCCCTTAGTGTTGGTTCTATCAAACCTGCAAACACCTCCCCTAACAGAAACTATTAATGCATTTTACTATTTAACTCTCTACTCTATTAAATCTCAGCTATTTTGATACAATTCTATTTGTGATAGCCCCCTTTATTCCTTATTGTCTGAAATCCATAATGTTTAGAATAACTCCCTTAAACACTCAGGATCGAATGATACGAATTATTAGAAAAACCACAAACGCTCCTAAATGTAATTTCAAACAGTCCACACTCCCAAACCACTGAGTATTTTGTTAATTTTCTGGCTGTTTTTGAGAAAATCAAATCAATATTGAAGCTCTATCCTCTTCCCCACTGCATCACGTAAAGAGGACCAGACCAGGAAGAGTACCAAAGCTTCCAGATTCAAGTTTTTAAGCTACTTAAGTAAACACCTTTTCAGTTGTGTTTCTCGTTCTCTCGGTTTGGAAGCTTTTCCACTAATGCTTTATGATTCACAAGTAAACTCGCCAACAGTCCTCCCTCATTGGCTTCGGAACCAGCATAGTCAATTTCTTCTCCTTTCAAAGTAGTCATATGGCCTCCGAGGGCTTTCAGAATCGCATTGCCTGCACAAATATCCCACTTCTTGATATATGTGACATGGACGTAGACGTCAGCCTTTTCATACTTCTCTTCTGGTATGTCCAAGAGAGACAGCACCTTGTACCCTACAAAAAAGTTAAAACCCATGAGACATCATAATGCACATTTGTGAAGCGACATGTATTAATACATGCAAATACATTACTGACAACTTGAGGATTGTCAGCTACAGTGAAATTATGTAATGTGTTCCTTGTACAGTACCTGCTCCACCTGCAGGAAGGATGACTGTGTCGTTTCCAAAAGCCTCCTGAATAAATGGCTTCACTTTTCCAGCATGAGATCGGGAGACAATGATTCGGGGTGACTGCGTATTGTAGGAAGGCCGGGCATTCACATTGGATCCTCCACCTACCATTGCCCATGCTAGGGGAAAACAAAGGAAAAGCGAATGTAAATTTCTTATGTAAATCAAGTTCTTATGTAAATCAAATTCCAAATGAGGATATTCATCTTCAAATAGTGTAGTAGGATCATCTGAAATTGATCACTTTCATGTTATTTTGTTCAGTGCCAAGTGTCCAAAAAGTGTCCAACGGACAACAGTAACAATCACGCTGCTTAGATCTTTGTATATTTTGACATTATAGAACTGAGTTTCCATGTATTACTACGATGTAAAGCAACAAGAAAAAAAGTGATGTGGTTAGAATATGGAGGCTTTATAACAGGCAGCTATCCTCTCTTTTTAAAGTATGCAAATGGATTAAAAAGTGCAAAAACGCAGAGACTCACACAGCTTAGGCCTTATTATAACTAGAAACTAGAAACTTTAAATTGAATGCAAGATGAACCATGCAGCTTGGGCAGAGCTGGTTACAGTCCAGATTGTAGCAGGGGGTCCCTGAGTGGTGAGGAGGGCTACTGCTAGTGGATATTCCAGTCCATGATCATCCCACTACAGTACTGTGGCTCTAGGTGCTCTTAAAACAGTGATTCCAAATCCTGGTCTGGGTGGCTCACACACCTGTTAATTTTCACTCCATTCCACCTGCAACTGAGAGCTGAGCTGGTGACCCATTAAGTGTGTGAGGGCATGAGGACCACTGTCTTAAAGGATGATGCACTACTACAAACTGCAATCAGGGCAATGCAATAATGATACAGTTTAAATAAAGACGGCACTCTTTATTTGTATTTATTACTTAAAGATGGCACTTCCACACTAGAGTAAGAAACATCAAGTTTTTTCCCCCTACTTACGACAATTCTATACCTGAAAAAAAACACTCTCCTTCTAAAATGTCTAGATGAATGTACACTAATTATGCTTCATTCTGCAGTTCCTTGGGACTTTAAGACCCCTTTGCTTTTTGCCCTCTGGAGCTCATCTGTAGTCTAAAAGGTACAAGAGGTTAAAAAAAACAATGAAGACACAAGCACACATACCTGTATACCCTGTGAATGGATTATGAATTACTCCAATGACAGGTTCACCGTCTACAGCAACACACACCATTGTCGTCACATACTGGCGAAGGCCCTCTGCCAAAGCACAGAACGCAAATTTTAATTTATTTTTCAATCCGCAAAAATTATGAGAACATGATTAGTTCTCACCACAGAGAAGGGTGAGCTATTCAATAAAGCATTAATCATTACCCTGTTAAAAATGATGGGAAATTTATTAAAACTATCTCATTTCGCCCAGCAACTCCTGCTACCCTCTCTGCTTCTCCTCTTCTGCAAGTCTTTCAATACATTAATATTCACGGAACCAAGTATTATTTAAAGCCGCAGACAAGATAATGTATCAAACTCTGTACTAAGTAATTACACATCTTCTCCTTGGGATCATGGGAAGACTCATTAAAAACAGACACCTGTGTACTCTTGAGTTGCATCCAGAGGATCGATCCACACAGTGATGCTCTCTGCAGGAACTTCTCTGCTTTCTGTGATCTTGTGTCGAATGTCCTCTGGAATCACGTGGTCCCACACAGCAGATTCTTGATCAGCGACATCATCATGTTCTTCAGAGTTGACCTAAACAAAAATAAAATTCCAAATCATTCAGATACGCATGGCAATTTACCAAGGGTTTTCAAATTAAAAATATGACAGACGAGCACATTTAAAAAAAATGAAATGTGTATAACTCTTCTTCTCTGGGATGTTTAGAGCAGGGGAAAAACTGTCAATCCCAATGTTAAGAGTGTAAAGAACATGAGAAATAAATATTGATAAAAACATACAACTCAAAGTATAAAATAATTCATTTTGGGATTAAATAAGTGGAACCTGTATTTTTTTCAACATAATATAAAACACTGTAGCCTGAAGATAAGACTGTTTATGAAATATTATATATTACACTGCACCCTTAATTGCTGTCTGGGCAAGTCCATTTTACAGACAATCTACGCTATCTGTAATGATAGATCTTTAAGTAATTACTTCATAATACTAGATTAATAGTCATCCCATCTTGTAGCTGCTCTGCAAAACTGATTTAGAAAGCAGTTGTTAGTCTTGCCTACATCTGTCTACTTAGTTGATCAGCCCAGTGCTGGAGCAATGAACGTCCTTGATGTTTTCCCTTGGACATGAGAGGAACATTACATCTAAATTTGGCAACTTCTAGCACACTCATAACAGCCCGCTCTTTGAATGTCTGACACATGGATTCCAAGACCTACTATTCATTTTGGTAAAGTTCCTGCGCTAAAAGCTCTTTAGTACGCATAGTGGTCCATCACACCTTATCAACTTTCCCATCTCTGTTGAATGCTCTGCATTCTCCAGTGCTGAATTCTTTACCATCACTCCGTTAGCCGACTGTTTCGTTCTCGTACATGTTGACTGAGGGTAGGTAGCTGGGGATGACCACAAACTACCCAGCCGCACGTTTGAAATGAACCCACCTTTACGAAGGGGAAGGTGCTCTTAATAAGGTGATACATCTTTCTGTGGGAGTACAGGTCTCCCAGCGTCAGCATCTCTTTTGCGCCTTCCCGCGTCTTCCCCTTCGATTTCTCCTCAAGCGCATTCTGCTCCCGGACGCGCTTCACCTCTCGCCCGCCGACGGCTGCCGCCTCCACGGACACGGCCAGCAGCTCCCGCAGATCCACGGCTCTCCCCTGCCGGAACGCGGCTATTCTGCTCGAAATGACGCCGGCGTAGAGGTGATAGATCACCCCGAGCCCCAGCAGACAAAACACAGCCACGCCAAGAGGAGACAGACGGATGCCCATCGGAGCCATGGAAATGCCAATATTGCGATGCAATAAGCATACAATTACACACAAGGGCACAAAACGGAATATATATTTCTATATTTATAAAAATATATAATAATGTTTAACACTGGGTAACGTTGGCATAAGGACTTCAGCGTCAATTCCTTGTACGTTTATACAAAGTACATTTACCAACGACATCCATTCAAAGGATGTTTAACGTCGTTCCATGTTTTTTTTTTATTTTAATTTTTTAAAGTATCTCTGAATAATAGTATAGCTCTTACTTATCGGATGCCGATAGTCCATCGCATAAGCTAAACATTTACCGGTGCATTATTCATGGCTATGTCTTTAATAGGGTACATTCAAGACACACGCAACAACAGGAACTTCAAAGAAAAAAAAAATATTTCGCACAGAAACGTCGCTCAATTCCCTGGCTAATTGAAGTTATGATCAAGATTGCACACCAATTTTGGAGTAAACAATTCCACGTCCACGGTAAGGGTTCAAACCTTAAAGACGCCAACTTCCTCTTCCAGGTCAAACTAAAAAGTCACATGACTGTTTTAGCAAATGTAGTTTACATTGACTTATAGCAAGTTTGGGACGTGCGTTGTAATTTGTGCTTTTGTCATATGGCATTGTTATGATTTGTGAAAGACATTGAAGGGTATTCTTATTGTTTTTGAGACGGTGAAAAATCTGAATTATCGTTTCATTTAGGAAAACTGCTTCCCAGATCACTTCCTCACCTGAGGCGCAAAGAAATTAGGTACAGGGTCCAACTCTTTAAGAGCCCAGAGATTTTTGTGCCGAGATCATTTGTCGAACTTCATTATGTGATATATTACAATGATAACGATATAGTAGCCTGTGAGGTTTAGCCGAGGAGCGATTATTTCTATTTGAAAACATTTCCCCTACGATGATTACACACGGAATGCAAACGGTATGCTTACCCTATATTTTCACTAGATTTATTTAGCATTCGGTTTAAGTAAATGATTTTCAAAATTAAGCTTGGCCTCCAGCGAAAACGAAACAGTAATGTTACAGGAAGTTAAGGAAATTCAGTCTATTCGCCTGAAGACAAGGATTTGTTTCATATCATGCCCTTTACAGAAGTTAATATTAGGACTAAGACAGGGATACAGAATACCAAGGTCCAAATCAAAAGTAATAATCTTACAGTTTTACCATGGCACATCTTCTCATCTGAGATAATATTACCGAGGATCTTTAAAACAAGCTGCTGTCAGTGTGGACAGCAAAATGGTCTTAAATTTGTATAGCTATTACTTATCGGATGCCGGTACTCCATATATTTTTAGGTTATGATAGAAGAATATTAATATTTGACTTTTAGTGATCGTATTGGTGGATCAGTAGGTGGCACGCTTACAGCTGGACCAGAATTTCTAAAGCAGTGCCCCGATATTTTAAGTGGGAACACTGTGCTCTAGAAAGTGTCGTTAGGAGGAGACATTAAAACAAGGCTGTAGCTTCTTTGTCATTACAGACACCAGGTTCTTCAAAGAAGTAAAGGTGTTAAGCCCAGTGTCCTGGCTAAATTCCTGTGTAAAAATACCTGGCCACCAACCAATAAGCTCCTCCTTACTTCACAAGTGAAAGGAATTTTCTGGTTCCCACCTGGGCCTGGTGTATGAGTGATGGTAGCACTCCATCACAGCTGTGTATCGCCATATGTGTGCTGCATTTCAGAACAGAAGAAAGGTTGCAATTGAGAGGAGGCCATGAAGCTCTTCTAGCACATTTGATAGTTTGCTGCTTAAAATGAAAATATTCTATTAATATAAAGGGGAAAAAATGCTTTATTATGTTCAAGAAGAAAATAGAAAATAGTTTTTTGAATTTTCTATTCAATTGAAAAAACATTTAAATAAAAATGAATTATAATACCAAATGTTAAAAAGGTGAACAGGGAGGTTGTAATTCTTCACAAATTTAGTAAGAAGCATAAATAGAATACAGATGTAGTCATTTTTGCTGGTCCTTGATAGTGTCTCTTCCTGTTAACTTTCTATGTCCTGTAAAGGAAGTTTATTTCATATTTACTCAAAACAGGAAATAAATGAGTTCTACTTTTTCACTCTCTTTTCTTAGTTTTTCTTCATCAATTTGTTTCATGTCCACCACTAGATGTCAGAATATGCTAAAGAATAACAATAGACTCGTATTTAAAGCAATTCACACAATCCTAGAAACATTTTTTATAGATTATACAGTATGTGTATTATATACAGTATGTATATTTTTTCAACAGGGATTCCTTACTAGGAAGGAGTGCTACATTCACAGTTTCTAGCTATAATGTTGTGGTAAAACAAGTGGTTTCCTATAACAAAACATTGATTGAATATGTGTTTATACTGTTCTGGAGAATGTAGTTTGAATATTTTCTAGTAAATATCCAAAATGTGGTTTAAAATACTAATAGGGCAATACAACTGGTAATATTGTGAAATAACTGCTAAAGGGAAGCCATTCGTATATGTACAAACTGTGGTTGTTTCTAATTTTTGGATAGCTTGATTCACATTCAGACCTTTATTTTATTTCCTCATGAATTGCATAATGAGTTTAACATGACACAAGTTGGAAATAATAATAAATGGGACAGATAGCAAATAATGGGTAAGAGAAAAGTTAAGTGGTATATAATATTGATTATGAAAGTTATCATAATGAATTCGATAAATGCTTAACATGAATGTTCTTAACATGTAAAAAGTTAATATTTCCTTTATATTTCTACTATTGAGATTTAAATGCGAGTTTTGTTTTCATGTTTACAAATATTTGAATGGAAAATGAAACTAATAATATGAGTGTCCTGTGTCGAAGCAGTATACCCAGCAGTGTATTACCTAGCCTACTCATAACATCTCATTTAGATTCATGCTTTTGCTAATGGTGATTTCGTGTGGCAGCTGCAGATAGTTGCCATGGCAACACTGTTCCTTTACTTTAGTTCACCAGTAGAGTTCATCAATCCCCAATACGAGTGTCAGGAGTTCTTGGACCCAAAACACATATTTACTGTTTTGTTTTTCATTTTTAAATTGTGGTATTCTGTTTGTGCCCTGAGAAGGAAAAACACAAAGCACTGCCGCTGAAACAGACAAATATGCTGATTGCTGTTAAAACTCATTTTTCCATGTTATCTAAATGAAATCAGTAGGTATAGTTACAGTACCTTTTACTGGTTGCAGTAGACACATAGTGTGTTTCTTTTTCTTGTTAGCTTGCAAATAATTGAAATAAAATGTTCTGGAACCCACGCGTGTTTTCTTTTCTATAGTGAGAAAAAAGGGTTTTAGCATATTGTGAGGATTTCTGAGTTTAATGATTTAAGTATACAAAAACATTATTATTATTACATTATTTTGTCAACAGAGATACTGTCTGCTCATCTGGTGTACTGGCTTTGGCAGGAAGCATCATCTGTGGGAAAACAAAAATGAATATACATTTAAATGATTACCAGAAAAAAAAAACAGAATTAGGGCAATAATGAAAGACATATACATGCAATTTGGAAACCAATAGTGTCATTGTCACACACTGGTTTAGGCCAAAACATTTTGTGTGACCTTTAAGTAAAGCACTGAACTTAAGTTTGTTACCCTGAAGAATCTTTGTGTACATTTAATACATTTTATTCACAATTTACAATTGTTACTCACCCTAGTGGGAAAAATGTCAATTTTCTTCTTGTTGATATTTCTAAAAATGTGATGCTTTTGACTAAAAATCCATCTTTCAATATTTCTCTGCCAAAGTTTTAAAGTAAATGTTTTAAAATACTCTAACTCTTAAAATAATTCATTTTTAAACCAATAAATTCTCGTCTTAACCCATTAAGATCAGGGTGGAAAAATGAAAAGTAATTTTCATTTTTAGATTCTTTATTTAGCCAAACAATTGTTCTTGTAACACATTTATGTTTATATATGCATGTGTAAACAATACAATTGCAGGAGCTATGCAGTACTTTTGTAGTAATGTGTTAACAATGCACTGTGCAAAACAAAACAACACAGTCTTTCAGTTCCCAAATTATTTCACTATGGGACGCTACTTGATTTGTAAGAAATACTTGTTGAGCATTCTTTAACTGAAACTATTCACCCTAGTGTACTATATCTATGCAAATTAAGTGACACTTGCTGCTAGATTGCTTACATAAGACATATGCCAAAGATGATGTCATGTAACATAAGTGTTACTCTTAGTGTAAACTATCCTGTATGTTCCTATCCAATATAGTGTAATTGCTAACATAACTGTTGATGTTATTTTTATTTTAAAGAATGTACGATTATAGAATGGAAATTGCAATAAGCTATAAAGCACTTATCCTACTGTAGTTTTCCTTATGGAGCTCCTCAGAAGAGTCATATTTCTCAACAATGATCTT